TTTTTTTTTTGTTAATCCGCTTTCTAAGATGATTTCCTTTACTTTGCAGCATTTCCTCATTCCTCGATAAAATTTATTGTCGAATAAATTGTGTAGATCAAATGTGAGCGCTTCAATCTTCCTGTCACTTCTTACCATTTCCCAGAGGTGTGTTTCTACGCACGGGAAGAAATGTGCTGACGACGGGAATTTTCAACGTGGCAAAAGGGGTCCCAAAAGAGGAATTTCACCCATTTTGTTCGCATCACTTTGAAGGGTAAAGGGGGGGGTAAAAAATTGTGACTTTTTTTTTCGTTTTTTTTATCCACACAACGGGAAATTTTCAAATGTGTGTTGCTCAGCAACTGCAGTGAAAAATACCTCGGCCGGTCGGCGGAAAGGAAAAAAAAACCCTACATACGATGCATGCGCGGTAGGGACGTAAATTATCCCCGCTATAGCAACGTACCTTTCATCACTTCCAAGTTGGGACCAAATAGGAAAGAGGAAAAAAAAAAAAAAAAAACATAAGAGTTTGGCTGAAAAGAAACAGAGAAGGGAATCCACCAAGGGAAAAACTGACTCATTCACTTCGTACGCCCTGCTGTACTTCCCATTCGCCCCACATCCACAATTACGCGTCGCTATAATCAATTCGCAGATGGGCGCACCGCAGGGAGGGGTTGGTACAAAGTATGGGGACATGCGTTAGAGATAAAGGTGCCGAAAGGCTCCCACCCCTGGTAGGTCATTTCGACCCCAAAAAATGCCAACTTGCCTAAAAACAGTGAATAACTCACCATCCTTACGTATAACACATACGAACGGTATGTAAATTAAACGACCACGAGAATTCTTCCCCAGTGGCATATCTCCGATGGCTCGACGGAAGAGTCATTGAATTTTAGAACTACAATGGGGGAATCAGTTGTTCGGGGGGAAAAGAAAAAATGCCGCAACAAGCGATTCTTCGCATAATTTAGGACTACTCACAGGTGAGCGTTTAAGTTGCGCTCTTTGCTACGGCTGCTCTTCCTCTCTTTTTTTTTTTCTAGATATACAGAGATTGAGGAAAAGAAAGAAGAAAAAATTTCTTTACGAACAAATAATGCGCAGCTCCTTTAGTACATAAAGAAGCAGCATTAAGTCGTTCCCGCGAATATTTTAATGTTGTAGGAAGTTAAGCCAAAGGGGGGAAGGCCTATCCCGGGGGCGCGCTGCTTGTAGGCACAAATCTGACCAACGCTTCATACGTATATTTATGCATTCATACGTGCCCACTTGCTTCGTAACAGATAAACACACACGAAAGGGAACGATGACGAACGAACAAACATCCCCATGCAACAAGCGGAACGACGAAGGTCTCGTAAGCAACGGGACAACAAGTCACCCCAACTGCTTCATCGCAAAAGACATAGAAGATAACAACCGTATGATGAGCAGTCTCAGTTGCCATTTGGTAAATCACTCGATGAAAAAACTCAACACGCATGAAAACAATGGCATGTTGAGTGACAAAAAAAATGGGCAGCTATCTGAGCGAAAGGATCCCCCAAGCAAGGCCATCCCAGAGGTAATAAAAAAAACGGTGAATATTAATCACAAGGACGAAACAGTAACGTACGTATATACCCTGGTTTGCTATAAAAATTACAACATTTTTTTCATCTCGCCGAATGGGAAATTTGCCGTGTGGATACATTCTCATAACATCATTATGCCCTTCTCGGTGGAACAAGAAACGGAAATCATTTTTGGAGAAAGGAACTATCCCTACTTGGAAATGTTTTGTACTCAGTTTATGAAGGACCATGCCGCTCTGAGGAAGTATAAGTCGATTATGTTCGCCATATGTCTTCACAACATGTGCTTCGATGACACGAAAGCTTTAACAGAAATATTTGTTGCGCTTAGCACTATGGTTTAAAGTACGTTTTACAGCGTCCAAATGGGTGTCAGCTGAGATGTGTACACGGAGTTAATCGCACCTTTGTAGGGTAGGACAGAGTATCATTCGTCATCACTGTGATGAACATGCCAATGCTGCAGTTTGTTTAGTCTTCATTTTATTATTACACGCGAAAGGGGGGGGATCCGGGGAAAAAACCCTCCTCGTAGAGCTAGCGACACAGTTTTTTTTTTTTTTTTCCTTTACTTCTCCGTTGTCGTTTCATACGTTTCAGCATAATCTGAATGCTTGAACGGATGGACAGATCGATGAATGGAGATCCCTCCCGGAATGTCTTTTACAAATGCCCAGTTATCCGCGTTGAACGGCTAATTTTTTCCCACCATTTGTGTGTACCAACTTATGTGCAATTTTGAGAAAAAAAAAAAAAAAAAGCTAACCAGGCGATAGATTTTTTCCCTTTTTTTTTTTTTTTTGGCACGAATTCCAATTCTGCGTATCTTTTTATTCACAATTTGGTCCAACTCATACGTTTCCATTTTCCTACTAGGGTGTCTTCATTTAGTCCGCCCTCACATCGATTGTAAAAATTCTCTGCAAATTTGTTGTGATTATTTTTGGCCCTCCAACAATTCTTTCATTTTTGCACATCGTACACCTTTTCGACGCGACCTCCTTCAGCTCCGCTTCGAGGCCCTATTTTCGCTTCCTTTCACTCTTAAGGTAGGATGAGTGCGAAAAGGCCTTTTTCCAGCCGCGCCTGGAGTTCTGTTTTTCCTTTATTGCCTTATTTTCGTTGCTCATGAAGAAGCAAAAAAATAGGGCATATCCCAACAACTTGAGATTTTTAAGGAATTGGGAAAATAAATTCTTCTTGCTCGGACATGATGGGCCCTCGTGGTCGGCATTTTTTCTTCGGTGATATTCTTCCCCTTTACATTTCCGTCCCTTCCTCAAGGTGTGCGAGCGGGTTTGATGCTCTGCCCATTGGGCGTGGCTTTGGCCGTTGAGCCGATCAACGGGGTCAACGCTTAATCCGAAGCTGAATTCGCCGCTCATCCCGCTTCCCAACCCGCCGCTAGAACCACTTTCACGTTTACGGAGGAGGCCATCAGAGGCAATGGCCCCCCTGTTGGAACCCTCTCCACGGAAGGGCCTCTTAAGGGGCCGAAAATAATGGCTCCATTTTTTTCTCAGTTCTTTCTCTATATAGGACCTATTCGTGAAGTACATGCCTTTCATATAATTATCGATTTCTAGTGAGTATTTTTTGTTCATATAAAAGTTATCCTTATTTGGGCTAACGTGGTCTGCTGCATGAAGACACTTACCGTCATGCGGCTCACAAAAGGGGTGACAACCATAACGAAATGATCTATTCCGACCATTATAGGGGCAATCATAACTGAAGTGATTGTCATTACAGTTTTGCCTCTCACAGGGGTTATAGTAATAGTGTATATTACTGACATGAACTAGCGGGTTGAAGTTGCTTATGCTATTTTTTTCTGGAACCACCACATTGCTTCTTTCCAGGTAGACATGATTTGGCATGTACACCACCGGATTGTCTTTTTTGTGTTTTTCCTCTTTGGCATCCTCCGTTAAAGCATTTCTCTCTGCCAAAGGGTGTTTCTCCGTTGAAGCGTTTTCCTCTGTGTGTTTGTTCCCATTGAGAGGTTCACTCATTCTATGCGTTTTGGGAAGCCTAACGATTCGTCTATTCTCTCGGAAGGCATCATTCACATCATTTTGGTTGCTCCTGATGCTGTCCAACTTCAAATTATGTTGCCACTCAGATGCTGCTACTGGGGACTCTTCACTGAGAGAAGATTTCCTCACTGCGAAGTATTTGTAATTTTTTTCGTACATGTCCGTAACACTGTCATTTGAAGACAGGACTGTTTCAGTGCTGGACATGATTTTGTAATGCTCTGTATCATTGCAGGGGGATTTCAGCCAAGTATCCTCCTTAGCATTGGACTCTTCCACCATCTTGGTTTCAACTTGACACCCCTTTTGATAGAACGTTTGCTTATAACCTGTGTAGTCCTCACGTATGCGATACCTTTCTCTCGTTAAGTCTTTTCGCACATGGGGGTTTCTTCCCAATTTTGTGTACCCCTTTGATTCGTCATGTCCTTGCACAAGTTTTCCATTTTTACGTTTATCCTTTGAGTTCCTCTCTTTTATGGGTGCAATTTCTCCATCGAGTTGGTTAACGCGCATTTTTTTTTTTTTTTGCCTTCCTTTACACTTGATAGTTCGTTTTTACTTACTTCCGTTTGACTAGTCCTTCTTATGAGCGTTCGCGTTACTGCACTGCTGTTGGCTTGCAGATTTGCGAGAAGCTGTGGGTCCGCTTGGCAACTGTCTCCCCTGAAATGCTCCCTCGTTACGTCATTCGGGTGGCTCCGTCCTAAGGTTTTGCGGAAAAAGGGAAAAAAAAGAAAAAAAGGCAAAAAACGGAAAAAGGACATAAAAATGGTACAAACTCGTTTAAAGCGTGTTATAGAAAGATCCCCAAACTTTATTTCGATCGACGAATTGCCCACTCCACGCATGGTACCAATGGAAAATAAACACCCGCGCTTGAAGAAATTCCCTTCTCGTCGTGCACATCACGCATGCACTCTCAAAGAGTGTTTTTTCTTCTGACGAAGTGTCTTTTTGCAAAGCAGAAAATTTTCCACATTAACGGGTACCTCTCATTAGCCCCCTATGCGAATGTCTTCCTTTTTTTTCTGCGCAGCTGTACATTGTAACGTACAGATGTTGTCACAAGAAGGTGTGGCAAAGGTGTACATTATTAATAGGGCATAACTTTTAAGAAGTAATTTTCACCGAAAGCGTGTCACGGTTTCGCCAAATAAATGCCTACTAAATTTAGCGCCTGTGGAAAATTAATATAAGCAATTTTTTAGGAGTCCATTTAGAAGGCGCAGATGGAAACTGAAATGAATCCCGTTTATGTGTCTTTTTCCACTTTCCAAAATTCTACAATAGAACTTTTTTTTTTGTGTAGAATTAAAGTTGATTTAAAGTAGACAAAAAATAAGACATGGCATCGTGTGGTGTAAAATTTCACGAATCAGTCCCCTTTTTTTTGATTAAACATTTTGGCAACACATTTTTAAAAAAATTCGCCTCTTTTTGTTCGCCAGATGGGGAAGCCACTTCTCCCCAGGTGTGCTGACCTTTTGTCTGTCTTGCGCATTTTC